GACACTAACATTGGCTTAAAAGGAGATTTGGAGCTGCAGTGGGATGGGCTTTGGGGCCATGGGTTGTGATGGGCAACTAGATCACCTGCCATTTCCTCATAATCTTTTAAAAATTAGTTATTTTGCAGTTGTTTTCTGTTGATGTCTACAAAATAATATGACTATTTCTTTCATTACAAGCTTCATCTTTAGACCTAAGGAGGAGAGTGTGAAATTCAGGTGCAAATATTATTCCGGGTCTTTGTCAGGGTGTGTTGATATCATTCTGTTGGCCTTTTTTTCTTTTTCAGTCAGTCCTTACTTAAGGGTCTGCCTTTCCTGGACTTGGCTTCTTAGCCCTCTCTCTCTAGTCTACCTGCTGTTTAACTGAGAACCTTACCCTCCCAACCCCCAATACTTTAGTTTAGACAGTGATGCCTTGAGGGTTTTTTAGTGTCTTTCACCACTGTTTCCAAATTATATCCCAGTTTTCACAACCAAAAAGTAATTGTTTCAAATGAGATCTCATGACCATGGGGCTTGTGACCTTAATTTCATTTCCAGATCTCCTGCCTCCTATTTTGACTGATTTTTACTTAAGGATTTCAGATAGAAAATTATTTTACCTTTTTTATGTTTGGGGAGAAAAGTAGCAACATGTCTGTCTTAATCTTTCTTCTTTATCTACAGTTTGGGTTACATTTCTCAAACTGTGGCTGACTTGATTTTTAAATGAAGAAAGCACAGAAAGTAAAGTAGGTATTTTTACTAATTAGCTTTGTGACTTCTGACCACTATCCTGCATGTTACTTTAAAATAACAGACACAAAAGAAAAGATATGAAAAATTATAAGAATAACTAAAAATATTAATATTTAAATTGTCACTTATTTCAGGGCAGTCAAGAATTCAGGGCCTGCTGAAAATATCTGATCTGGCCTTGTTTTACATGGTACTCTGCTAAAACATTTTTCCCTGAGCTAAGACTGTGATGTGGTAGTTGAATGAATAAAAAAAATTAGAAAACAAAATTATAGTGATGTCATAGGCCTAAGCTTATGAATAATTTGGGGGACTCAATTTATGGTATGCTCATTAGGAGAGAAAAATCAAACAACTCAAGTTTCCATAATAGCTTTTTGTTTCTCGGCAGGTCTGAAAAATGTACTCTTTACAAAGTAAAAGTGATGTGATGACAACTTTTATCATGATTGTAGATATTGTCTATCTTCCCTGATTATGGAAATATTGTAGGGCTAGATCTTAGTTACGTCTAATTCGGGACCATGTGTAGAACATATCTGAAATAGCTGTGGTCTGGAGCCATATTCTTCAGTGCTGGATGAACAGAGGTTAGTTATGGTCCAGTGGGCTTGCTCCTTGAAATGAGGGAGCCACGAAGCTTAGTTAGTGCACTGTGCTGTTTGCACCTCATTCACTAAGGTCAAGCCTTCATTGTGTTACAGTGTTCTTCTGTTAGAAAGGCTCCTACTGTACAATCTAGCCAATGCAGATTTCTAATCTGCTTATTTATAATTCAAAAGCTTGCCTATATATTAATGAACCCTTAATGAGCTGTTGAAAATGCCTGAATTACAGTCAGATTATTAAACTCAAACAGCCCCGTAATCATACCATTTGAGTGGGCTTTAGGTACTTTTCACATCTGCAGCTTAGAATTGTGAAGGGTATGCGTTTATTCGGAGAAAGCTTTGTAATAATTTTGACCCGTAATTTATTTATTGCCCTCCGAATGCAGTTGTCTATGCAGATGCTCTCTCCCATTATCTGTGGGGCAGGTGCACAGCATGTTGAAAGACAGCTAATTAGGATTTGCTGAAAGATATGCAAAAATGGTAGGCTTATAACAAAGCCAAGTTCATTGTTAAACAATGTTTTACTGTGTTTGTATGATTTGTCTAAATCTTAGGGATACAGAAATGAATGTTGTGATTATAAGTAGGTTGCAAACAGGGTTTGTTTTTTTTTTTAAACTTTATAAGGTTGTGATGACCAAAGAACCTAGATGTAAACCTTTATAAACCTCTGTATGTTTCATCATATATACATTTTGGATTAAAAACAAGTACAATCAAATTTTAAATGATTGTTTTACCATGGGTCAATTTGAAGATATCAAGATCTTTTGATAACCACACAGTCTGATTCATTCTGACCCTTGCAAATTTAGACCCATTAAAATGTTTATAGGTGCCCAGAGGAGTAGGTATTATGACTAAAAGCCAGTGTGACTCTAGAAAGTTAGTAAACTAAGTAATAGTGAGTAGCTAGGTAGGTAGGATGAGGAATAAAATGGTAATTTAAATGTTTTTAAGTAAGAAAATAAATAGAAATATTCAAATTGAAAATAATTTTGGAAACCAGGTATTACTATTTAAAGATCCCGTATTCATTACTTTGCTTAATAAAGAAAAGAAACCGATTGACTTTTCAGACTAGTTATGAAAATTCCTTTATTATTGATAGTCTTTTTCATGTTGCCTACTTGCAAAGTGCTTTAGTACTTTTCATCTAAAGAAATATGAGTTTTCTGTCAGGAAATGATTTTTCTGATAAAATTTGATTCACATAATTTATAAAGTAAATACAAAGTATTGCATTAAAACATATTTTCCTGTTCTTGAGGCAAGCACTTAGTGTTGATTTACTGATAATTTTAGAAATAAGATATTTTTCATTATAAGTAAAATGTTACAGTAGTTGACACTGTATACTTATAATTGTTTTTATTTGTATCCATGGCTATTGAGCTTATGGATTGCTTCTCATTGGTATGATAATGATGGTTTATATACATATTAAGTATGTATAAAAGTATCATAGATGGCTAATTAGTTTTGTGCCTTTTGCATTTCTTCCTAGTGAATTTCCTTCTGTCTCTCTTATGGTGTAATTCCTTGGATATTAGTCATTGAGCTGCTTCTCTTGTTTGCCATACGTTTGCAGGGAAGTGTAATCTTTTTGGCTATGGAAGTTAATCTGCTATTAAAGTACTTCACCACATGTCCATAGGGAAAAGATCAATGTGTTTAACTACAAGGAGAAATCTAGAAACCCAGAGGAAACTTGAAGGTAGATTTAAAAAACACATTTCAGGAGAAGCATCAGTGTCTGTGTAAATACAAAAATCAACAAACACACAAAACTGTGGGCAAAAATTCAGTTTAAAATGGAGAAAATTAAGAAATCCTCAAACAAGAACAAAAAATTAAACAAATCAAAGTGCAGCATAAGAGATTGTTCAGTAAGCCCTCATTGCATGCCAAATGCACAAAAAACTTGCTATGTGAACTACAAGCATGTACAGGTCATGAGATTTTGACATTTAACAAAGTGAATTAAAAGAGAGGAAAATTGAAGATTTACATTAGCGATACAAACTTAACCAATACATGGCAGTTCTAGAACAATATTAGGCAATCCTTTTTAGTTATAGAAGAAACAGCAAATACATGTTTGCGTATTTTTAATTATCAGCAGTGTGTTGATATGCATTTTATGAGTTATCTTTTTGCTCTCCTAAATGAATATATTGTCTTAGTATATTATAGTTTTCAAACCTTATTTGCTTCTGAATAGACAACAGATATAATTTTAAATGATGATGGGTTAGTTTTATTATCCAGTTGAAATTATTCTGAAGTATAATTTTAAATGAAAGTGACAGCTTTAAAGTGTTTTGGGGAAGAAATTAAAGTTGTGTATCTGAGTTAAGGCAACCAAGAGCTCTGTCATGCCATGGATGTAATTCAGAGCATCTAGGAATGAAATCTGTTCTTAAAAGAATTGATGGTAGCTTTAGGTTAGCATATAAAATCAGAGTTGGTGATCAGTTGAGTACTTGGCAGCTTATAGATGTTATGTCATGTGAGTTACACTAGACACAAAGTGTGTACCACTGTGGATAAACAACAACAGGCACAGACTCAAAAGACAGAATCCAAATACAAACAAGCAAGGTGCCAACTTCCTTTTCCCCCTTCCCCAAGAAGACTTGTAACTAGTGTAGGGAACCTGTTTTTAAGCAGAGTTACAGAGGTTAATTGGGCTGGGATGTTTTAGATTATGTTACACGTTAATGAAAATGCTGATTTTCAGCTGTCATGACTCCAGTGCTTTTTATACCATGATAATTATTTTAAAACTTTGTCTTCTGTGTTGTTGAAAACATCTTGGCAGAAAGCCTGTGTGACCTGATTAAACCTATGAATTGTCAGCTGTGATCTATAGTACTCAGAAGAGGTTGCTGACTGGGCATCACTTAGGAAGTTCTTGATTTAAAAGCAAAATTAGATTGAGACTACTGTGCCCAGAACTGTATTGCCATGTCAGTGGCACATTTTTAATACTGTATTTAGTATCCTCATTTTATAGTTTGCTAGCAATCACTTAACAATATTCATTTAATAATATATATATTTAAGTATAGCTAATTGCCTCATAATGTGTGTATTCCTCTTCTGAAATCACATGATGGAAAAGCTCATCTAATCTTGTTTATTTTTCAATTTTCGATTACAGTTTGTGAATTATTTTAAGGGAATTTTAATTCTGTTTCTCCAACTGTACAGAGAGACAGAATGACCACCTTTGGATGAGTTTGTTTTATATCCCTGTAATTATTTTCTTTCTTTCTTAAAACCTTCCATTTTTTTTACCTTCTTCCCATTTTATGCTTAAATTATCTGAATCTGGGAAGCTTGGATGATTAAAATATTCAAGGAAGCCAGGGTTACCTTTTTCTAAGGATCTATCTGTGGTAAATTGAGGTAGTTGGGGGATATTTAAAATTCTAGGGTGCATGTAAACATTATCTTGAAAACAATTTTCATACTTATTCAAACTTATTGATCAAATGTGAACAATGAAGTTCTCAGCATGAATTGTAGTACACTGATGTTGTTTGATCATTTTCATTTTCAAATAAACAAAATACTCACACTATTTGTCCTCTGTTTCTCGCTTCTTCTCTCTCTGTCTCTCTCTCTCTTTCCTTGAAGGTCTCAGCATCAGAGGAGCCCAGGAGGAGGACCCTCCCGATCCCCAGCTAATGAGACTGGACAATATGCTTTTGGCAGAAGGGGTTTCAGGTCCTGAGAAAGGTGGGGGATCGGCGGCAGCAGCTGCAGCCGCGGCAGCCTCTGGAGGTTCTTCAGATAACTCTATTGAACACTCAGATTACAGAGCCAAATTGACCCAGATCAGACAAATCTATCACACAGAACTGGAGAAATATGAACAGGTCAGCAGCCGCCACTCTCATAGTCCTACACAAACCCTCTGTTGCTCTTCTATTAGACCATGCTAACCAATTCTGAGGGCTGTGAGGGGTAGGTGTTAACACAAATTACAAAATAAATAAGGTCAATGCAAAAATTCAAGTGAATTGTTGGATTCATGAAATGAAGACCCTTTGAGATTTTGGAGGTGGAGCTCTACCTATTTTATCTCATCTACTTGTTTTAGTTTTATTCATTCCTCACATTCACGTGCCCTTATTACCACACCTGCAGTCATTCTTCCCTCTCACCTCACCACTTGGTGCTCTTCAAAGCTCTGTATAATTAACATTTATGCACTAGCCTTGTTCATAAGCTTTAATCACTTTTGAAGGGAAGCATTGCACAGTGAGCTTTTCCCTCCTATGCTGTGAGCTCCAGAATCCTCCTGGGAATTAATTCTTATGGATTGTGCCAGACTATAGGGAACTTCACCAAGTAAGCAGGTTCTGGCCTGTTTCTCTGAGTATGAGACCTCCCAAGATAATTATGGGTACCCCAGGACAGGGAGTGTTAGGCAAGGCATTATGTGCTAAATTCCTGATTAGAAAGAGAATATGGGTTAAAAATCCAGTTCTCAGCAATTATATTAACCATACTGAATCTAAGATAACTTTGATTTTAAGTTGCATCATTATTTTATGTACCACCAAGAAAAAATTAATACTTCTAGTTTAACTATAAAATATTACTGATTATAGAATGCTTTCACATTTCAGAGATGTTAAAATGTAGGGAAAAACAAGTGAGTCTTAGATTTAATGTAATAAAGTAAAATATTGGTGGGTCTTTTTTACACATATTTTAGTTACTAGTTTAATGCTGAAAAGCTGTCAAGTTGGAGGAATTCTCATTTGATAAGATTTGTCATTTGGAAGATAATTTTAAAAACATATTATTATGGAACATTTTATAACACATGTACACAAAAATAATGAGAATAGTATTAGACTGAACCCTATGAAATTGCTAAGTTTTGAGGTCAGAAACAGTTGAATATGGTAATTTCATAGAGTTCAACCCCAAATAAGGAATCAGCTACTTTTTACACAGATAAATAGTTATCAACATTTTGCCACTCTTATTTTGTGTACCCAGCCCCAATTTGGTAGAGTATTTTAAAGCAAGTCTTAGACATCCTATAATTTCACCCACGAGTATTTCACTATGTAGGCAAGTACTTTTTAAAGTCCACACACTTTAGTGTGAAATGGGAGTCCTGGTGAGTTTTGTGTGTGTGTGTGTGTGTGTGTGTGTTTTAAAGACTTTTTTAAAGAGCAGTTTTAAGTTCACAAGACCAATTTGAGAGGAAAGAAGAGAGATACCACGTATACCCCCTTTCCTCACCCATGCATAGTCTCTCCCATTATCAGCATCCCCTACCAGAGGGGTTCATTTGTTAAAATTGATTAACCTACATTGACACATCATTATCACCCAAAATCCATAGTTTACATTAGGGTTTACTCTTGGTATTGTGCACTCTATGGATTTGGATAAATTTATGATGGCATGTACCCATCATTATAGGCTCATACAGAGTATTTTCACTGCCCTAAAGATCCTCTGTGCTATTCATCCCTCTCTTTTTTTCTTTCCTCCCCACTGATCCCTGGCAACCCCTGATCAGTTTTAATACTGATTTTTTTTTTCCTCTATGTTCCCTGTATAGTTTCAGTTGAATATGTCGTTGTATTTTTTTCACATTGCCTTTTCTAATATTCTGGATACAATGGTTTTAAGCAAATGCTGAATCCTATCCCAGAGGTGAGTGTGTTTTGAGGGAGAGTAGAAAAATTTGTATATCTTTAAGTTAAACTGTAATGTAAATTAATATATTATAAGATGTTTTCTATTTTTGGAATAGGATTTTCTGGGATCTAGAACTGTATGTCTAGTCTCATTTGTAAGAATAACTTTCGGTGGAAAATGTACAAATAAGAATTTTGGAAAAATTATCATGTGTATGTATGTATGTAAAAAAAAATCCCACTTTCTGATTTGACATATGAATAATTGAGAGTAAACAAAATAAGTCATGGTTGAAAAGGTTGCCCCTGAGCATAAACAGTAGAAAATGACTCTTATTTGTAGTATATTCCTAATTGTATAACTTTATGCTAAAATAACCATACCTACTTACTAGATAAACATCACCCGTCACCTTGCATGGAAAGAGATATAATGTTAGAGGCCAAATGGCCCGAGTTTTTTGGCTGAGGAATTAAGGCGGTTCCTTACTACCTCCTGCCATGTGTCTTCACACCTGCCTCCTTACTTCTCCATACAACCCTGGTGGAAGTTGTGTGAAGCTGGTGTCAGTCAATGACAAGGTCCTGAGTCTCATTGTTTTAGAAATATCCTACAAAATTTTCCATGAGATTTTAGGTAACTTTAGCCCCAGCTGATAACAGCATCAAATCACCAGAGTTTTTTGTTGTTGTTTTGTTTTGTTTTGGCTTTTAAAATATACATGTATATGCATGTTCTTCATACATTTATCTCTTTTTTTTAAATTGAAGATCAAATTGGGAAGCACTGAGTTTAAAAATGTATTCAAGAATTATTTCTGGATATAATCAGTAGCCTAATAACAATCTAAATATATAGTTCCTTTTTTGTTTTAATACTTCAGATGGAAAAATAGAGATACATAAAATCTGTACAGTAGGGGCAAATGAATAGATGGGGTATGATGACTAGTTGGCAGATTCAGCAGAGTTTTAATTTACAAATTTTCTCCTGTAGGTTTGGAATTGTTTTAGAAGTGATGTAGCAGCATTTAATTCTTTTAAGTTGTCTTGGGGGCTGGTTTTTTTTAGCTCTTGTGACTGTTGTTCTCCTAAATTATTAGGATCGGTGCATTTTGACCCAAAACAGTCAACTTTTCCTTTCAATTCTTTAGGGTACAAGGGCTTTATCTGGATGGTCCTTTCAGAGACATGCTTTGGTGTTTCAAGAAGGGCTAAACAGAGCTAAGAAGGGATAGGACTTCTAAAATAGATGATTATTGTAATTTCCATTTTATAGAGGAGAAAATGAGACTCAGAGAGGGTAAGTGATTTGTCCAATGTCGCACATCTAGTTAGTGTCAGAATCAGACGTTGAAATCAGTTTCTGAAAATATGTCTTCCTTTTTCATTGAATTGTGCTGCTACCCATGTAGAACTGGAAAATAATTCAGGTACATTCTGGTTTTCTCTGATTTTCCTGTGTTGGTTTGCATTTGAAATGGGAATCGAGCAGATGGAAAAACAACTTTTTTTTTTTTTTTTTAAGACAGAGGCTCACTGTGTCGCCCAGGCTGGAGTGCAGTGGTGCGATCTCAGCTCACTGCAACCTCTACCTCCCAGGTTCAAGTGATTCTCCTGCCTCAGCTTCCTGATCAGGTAGCTGGGATTACAGATACCCACCACCACGCTCGTCTAATTTTTTTTTTTTTTTTTTTTTGTATTTTTGGTAGAGACAGGGTTTCACCATCTTGGCCAGGCTGGTCTTGAACTCCTGACCTCATGATCCACCTGCTGTGGCTTCCCAAAGTGCTGGGATTACAGGTGTGAGCCACCGTGCCCAGCCAAAAACAACTATTTTAATCACTTTCCAGAAATTATATTTTTCCTCCTAAGAGTGAACATGGGTACTCTGAGTGACAGAAAGCTTAATAGTAAATAGGAAGAACATATATGTTAAGACAAAGGCTTCAACAGAAAATTGTGTTGAGTCTTTTAGAAATAAACTACATTGGAATCTTAAGAGTTATTCACTCTACTGTGTTTCACAATGAAGCTGTAATGAAAATGTATCTGAAGCCTGTTTAGATTTAGATTGCCATAAAATTAACAAACATCACCACTGCAGTAAATTAAAGTACCTCATAAGCACAGCCACATTTACAAAGCTAAGCAGACAGACTAGAGCTACAGTTTGAGCAAAATTAAATCCAAGCTGCAAGGCTCAGTTTTATGTATATGTTTTAGAGATGGTATTGTCTTTAAAATCCTGTCTTTTTTCCCTCCAGAAAATTGTTCTTTTATCATATGTCTCTATTATATAGGCTCAGATTTAATGATTCTTGATGATAACCATCTAAAAATTCACTTATAAACACTTTTGAAATATTAGGCATGGGATATATGTTAGGGTAAGGTTCTTGAATATTACTGCCACCCAAAAGGAAACAAAACTATTTTATTTTCTTCTTGTTGATTCTAACACCCAGCAGGAATATGAAAATTTTCCAAAGCTTGCGGCAAACTGTCCTGTAATACTTCATCTTGGGTACATTGCCTCGCGTTTTAGCTAAGAGACAAACCTAGTTGCTTCTTTGTCGTCTTGTTGATTAGCTACAGCTTTTGAAAAATGCCTTTACTGTACCTTGCAAATATGTTCTTATGGTTAAAGGACCACTGTTAGAATAGGTGAGTTCCTAGAACTTAAGCCAAGGTTCCTGGGAAGCCTTGTTTTTAAGAAGTACAGGCCTTCTATTGAACTGGTCTTTCTTGGTTCCTCCACCACCCTACCAAAAGGAAATGGACACATTGGTTTTTGCAAATGAAATTTGACTTCAAGATTTCTTCTCAGTTAAAAAGGAAAAGATATATAATGCTCTATGCAGCTCTCCCACTTTGCTTGTACCAGAAGAAATGCTTGTACACAGGCAATTCACTCATAATTTACAGCTGCTATAATAGAGATGACATATTGAAAGCTATCTACTATAATTATATTGAAATACATTTTTTTGCTGAAGGCAAAAGTGTTGTCAGGGTCCCAACCCTTCCCAAGCATCTGGGAACCTGCTTTCTGAGTTCACAGACGTCATTTGAACTCACCCCAAATCAGGCAAAAAGCACTAAAACCAAGGAATACACTGAATGTGCTCAGGACCAATCAGGTAGCATTTGGCTACCAGAGGACTTACAGATTGCAGGGGGAATGGAGAATGGGTGAAAATGTAAACCAC